GTTAGAGGCAATTTCATCCAAGGTTAATAGGACTTGGAGATCTAAGGGGTTGATTCCTAACTCGAACTCTTTGCTAATGGAAGTTTTGGTCGAAGTCATCTTCATCTAGAGTTTGATTCCTCAATGCTTTGAATTCCTCGAGTTGGTTCTCCCGTGGTCGAAGCTAAGGTAAGCTCTTCTTAATGGAAAACTCACAATTACTTGAGAAATATTCCCCCTTGTCCTCCACGGATATAACTTGATGAGAATTGTGTTCATTTACGACACAATACAATGTGATCCATTACCTTTTTGCTCGTCCTCAATGTTGGTGTGCAAGTTTCTCAATCAAACACTCTCGATTCCCACAAATAGCATCAATTGTGTTGAACACAACACTTTTGGAAAAAAATACTCACACTTATATTATAACCAATTAAGAAAAGACTACAAGACAGACACAATTTATTTTGCTTGAGATTGTTTGGGTTGTAACACTGATCATCGACGACAATGCAATTCAGAGGAGTTACTACTAACGTCGATAATAAATTCCGACAACCAATCATAAATTTCAAAATATTTCCATAAACACCCAGTAAAACATTTAAAATGAGTATCATTTTAAACTTAAACAACCAAGTAAGTTTTAAACAGCGAAAACATAAATACACAAAACATACCCAGACATGGATTCCCTGTAGTCTCTAGCCTGTCGGTTTTGCCCTCGGTTGGTCTTCATCATCTAAATCTAGAAAGAAAAGTTAAAATAATTTTGATGAGTAATTGACTCTATTAGGTTAGTGATAATCTTTTAACTAATTATTGATACACAAATCTGAGCAAAGGGAAACGCACATGATCAACACATGATTCAACAATAAATTTATAATTTAGGGGATAGAGGTGACCTACAAAACAAAGAAAATTGCACACAAGTCCGACGCTTACCACACACACTACATGTAGCTAGATTTTAGGTTTAGAGAACGAGGATTGAGTTACCTAGAATTTCATTTCATTTCATGTCTTTCAAATAGGTTGAGGACAAATTCCGATCTGGGCTTCTCTCGAAACTCATTAAATTGTAGGTGTGCCAAGACTACGCCCTCACGAACTCGACCTAGACCTAAGACTAGGCAAGCTTTCAAGTCTTTTGATCAATCTAGTAGCCTGTTTACTAAAAGAAACAAAGTGATTAAAGATGGAAAAGTCCAAAAACAAAGATTGTTTAGTTCCAACATCTTTAGATCGTTATGAAACGTGGGGACGGGAGAGTAATAGTGATTTGGACTTCATTCGTTACGACGTGTAGCTGCCTTAAGCCACTCCTCCTCATACAACAAATCCAAATCAATGGAAATCGATACATCTCCATAACAAAAATAGTTCCTAAAACTTCTATCCAATCTCCTAAAGTTTTAATTTAATAATTTTACTTCATCGTAAGATCTGTCCCAATCAATTGGGTGAAGTATTTAAGTTTGAAAGTAAATGACGTTACATGAGATAATTGAATTGACGTCTTTATTTATAGCTTAATAAATACTAAAACGAGAGATAGACGTTTCAACCTCATAAACGTAATAATTATACCGAGATATTCAATTTTTTTTTTTTTTTTTTTTAATTTTACAAGTTCGATAACATATAATGTAATAGATTTATGAATGACATATATCTTAACCAGTTAAATTATTGTCAGATTAATATATCAAAAGTAGGCTTGAAATATAAGCTACCGATACGTGTTCTTTTGTCGTGGTTTGTATTAGGTTTAATTAGTTATTAAATAACATCATATTCTCTTAATGTTATGTAACGATGAAGTGATTGATTAGAGATCCATCCATTTATATGATTTATATAATATTTATTGGCATTTAAAAATGGTTAGAGATCTTTTCAAATATTTTTCTATATTTGTCCGGACATACATTAAAATTTCCAAATTTTCCGGCTAGGGTTGGGAGAGGGATTTGATTTTTTATTATAAAAGAATTTGGAACAGTTGTTCGTACTTAACTAAAATTATAAAAGTTAGGTTGGGTTAAATTTTTTATTTGGTCTGGTTGAAATTTTAGAAAATGGAAAACTCCAATCTATTTGTCCGATGTCATTTCTTTATTGGGTTATGACCGACTCAGTTTTATCAAACAAAAAAAAATCTTGAAAAAGAATTTTAAATTTAGAAAGTTAAAAAAATATTATATATATGTGGAGAAATAAAAGTGTAAAATAGTGAAATATAAAATGCAATATGAATATGGTTGCATTTAAGTGGACAAAATTTGTGATTTCCTCCATTTGTTTGACTATTTGCACACCTTTCTTTTTTCCATCCAAACGGCACCGTTTCGTTTTCATTTTTCTCAATATCTTATCACTTTATTTTTCTATTTTATTATTATAACCTTCATTTATTCTATAATTCTATCAATATTCTTTTTAATTCTAAATTTTACTAAAACCAATATTAAACTAATAAACATGAATTTATTGGATTCTACAATTATTTATTTATTTATTATTATTATTATTTTTTAAAGAAAAACAAAGTTTTCGATAACATTTTTTAAAAAGAATGATATCATTTTAAAGAAAATATATAAAAAAAAATCATAAAACATCTTTAAAAATTAAATAATTATTGAATGACTAAAGTTATACACCGTGTATATATAAGTGTATATATAAGTAGGTTAAATTAACAAAAATACTTATAAATTTGGTAGTTTGTCTAGAAAATACTTTTTAACTTTAAATTTTTTTAATAATATATTTAAATTAAAAAAAAAGTCCCAAAAATTCAATTACCAATAGTTTTGGATAAAAATTGAAAATTTTTTTTTTACCTCCAATAATATCTCATAAATTATCTCCAAAATTTTATATTATTTTTTTGTAAATTTTATGAAAATTTTTTAAACTTAGTGCTAATAGCAAAAGTATTTTTAATTTTTTAAAAAAAAATTTGAAATATGTTTATGAAATTTTTTGAAAATTTAATAGTATTTTTTTAAACACATTAGTAAAAATAAGAATATTTTGAAAATAAAATATTAACTGTTCCATAATTATATATATATAGTTTAAGAATAGGTTTTAGATTTTTTTATAAAAAAAATTTAAGGTTATTATTGAAATTTTTAGAAATTTAAAGATATTTTTTTAAATAAAATACAATTTTGACATGTATTTTTATTAATTGAGCTTATATACATGAATTTGTATTTATGATATAAGATAAATAATGAGTTAATTAATTTGCATTTAAACAAGGCCCGATGTTGTGGGATTTTACTCTCCACTGGAGAACCCTCGACACGGGTGCCACGTGTAGTAATGACCTGGAATATAATTTCATAATTAGATGTACTGAATCCTGAACAGTGATGGGTTTTCTCATGCAAAGTCACAAGGAAGGTGCCACGTGGGATAAAAAATTTATTTAGACAATCACGCACTTAAATACTTAAGAGTTTGCACACCCACCTTTATGAGGCCACTTAAATGGCGACACGTACACGAATTAATTATGGTGATATGCGCACATTTGTCAACACTCTACAGCTAGGAAATTCCACGCCATCTCGACCCATCCCAGAAGGTACACGTGTATGGCTGGTAACACTCTGGCTTGGACTTTCGTATTTAAAAAATGGAATAAGAAACTCCAGTTGGCAAATACAAATTTCTTCATATAAATATAAGGACCAAAATTAACATTTTCGAAAATTGTCTTAAAATAAAAAGTATATTATTATTTAATTTTCTCATATTTAATTAAAATTTTGACTATTTCTACCCCTAAGATATTAATTTATTTCTCTCAATTAATTAAATTATAAACAAGATTTTGAGGAATGATTTCTATAGAAAAAACGTGAATTTTGAATGGAAAATTAAAAAATTAATTATTGTTTATTTATTTATTTATTCAAAATTCATGAGAGATGTGGGAAAAGATGTATAGAGGTTACGTAGGAAAATTGAATAGGTAATTCTAATATATATATATATATATATAAAAATTGGAAAAATGGCCGAAAATGTGTAAGGAAGAAAGATTGGGCCTGTTAGGTGAAGTTGGAGCCCACAAAACAAGAGAAAACGGTTTAAATGCATGACAAAGGTGGGCCCAGATGAGGCCCATAACTAAGACAGGATGAGGTGTCACAATCTTGATGCAATGGAGTTAGGGTTCTGAATTGTGATTGGTTGATATATATATATTAATTATATGGGCCCTACATTATCTCAATAACATGATAATAAAATTTCCAAAAAAAAAAATAGTATTTTTTTATTCACATAATAATTTCATCTTTATAAATATTTTTTAAATGTCGGTGGGCTCCACGTCTTTATTAAAAATATATTAATGTGACAGAAAAACGAAGGAAGCATTCATATTCTTATAGTACTAAAAAATTTCTCAATCAAATGAATTAGTCAATATTTTAGACATGTAGAATTTCGGTATCGGTAGGGCCCTTAGTTGTCGTCACTCGATTGAATATGGTTCGATGTTTGGAAGAGGTGTAAGTAAGTTATGGATCACATCGTCGTGCTATGCCATTATTTGCATTCATATTCTTAGAAATTTCTTCATTTAAACATTGGTATATAGAAATGTGTGTTAAATGAACACGACTCTCCACAATAGTATGATATTATCTACTTTGAGCATAAACTCTCATGACTTAAGCCTCATACTACTGCCGAGTATTCTTTGATTATAAACCATGATCATAGACTTTCATCATCCTGAACTCATAACTTTGCATCATTTAAATAACTATTATACTCCAAAGTATAATGAATGGGTTACTATATGATTGAGGAAATAATATTCCATGAATATTTGAAGCAGGGAAAAAAAGGCAATGAGTTAAAATGATAATCTTCAATTAAATGTCATTAATTACCTAAAGATTAGGTGGTTAAATTAGGTAAAAAGTTAAAAAAAGATATTTAAAATAATAAAGTACCTAAATCTAATTATTTTATAGAGTGGGAGATTTAAATCTTTCCAATAAATAGGAAGTGACATGACATTATGATCATTTAATGATATGTTTAAATGATATGCAAAATAATCTACCACTCTTAGCTAAACAGCAGAAGAGGAGCTTGAGTGTATGGAAATGAGATTCTTTTAGACAAAATTAAGGAACAACTTACACGTACATTTCAATCTGTAACCTCAAAATTCTCCTTCAAGAACTGATGGAGTTCTTCTGCAACTACTGTCGGATACTCTTCTTGAGGCAGAAGGGCTCCTGGCAACTCCACAAACTTGCTCACCCCTTTGGCTCCTCGTAGAGCTTCCATTTCTGCCTTGGACCTCTTGGGTGATTTTTCTGTTGATACAACTAAAACTGCCATCTTTTCGTCCAACCCTGAAAACAGTTCGACAAACTCTTCTCGGGATTTGACGGGATCAAGAAGACCCGTCAAGAAAGCAGCAGGCACGTAACGGGCACCGTCTCTTTTAGTCAATGCATATCTACTTTCAATGATTTCTGGAGTAACATTGTCAGGGTTGGCATAGACGTGAGATTTGTACTGTGATTCAATTGCCTTTTCATTGCTGACGAGTATGTTATACATCATCCAACCTACAGCAGGTGCCCTTAATGTGCCTCTAAGAAATCCATACCTGGGGATCAGGAAGTGACACATTTAGATTAAGTTCATGGTGATGAGCATAACCAATAGCATGTCTTAATAAGGATACACGTCTCCTCAACTAAATAAATGGTGTTTTCCTTATTTTTTTTCTTTTAAAAACTTTCCTTATGAAAAACATCTAAAAAGATATTAATTAAACCACAAGCAAGCACAAGAAGCAAGTAAAAAAAAAAACAAAATAATCCTCTCAATGTTTTGAAACGCGTATGCTAGGGAGAGGTTTCAACACCCTTATAAAGAATGTTTTATTTCCCTCTCCAACCGATGTGAGATCTCACAATCCACCCCCCTTAAGGGCTCTACATCATCGCTGGCACACCGCCCAGTGTCCACCCCCTTCGAGGTTCATCGTCCTCATTGGCACACTGCCTAGTGTTCATCCCCCTTCGATGCTCAGCGTCCTCGCTGACACACTACCCGATGTCCACCCCCTTTAGGGCTCAGCGTCCTCGCTAGCATACTGCCCGGTGTCTGGCTTTGATACATTTGTAACAGCCCAAGCCCACCACCAATAGATATTGTCCTCTTTGGGATGTTACAATTTTTCTGTTGTGTGGTGGTGACTGGCGAGAGATAGAGAATGGGTGAGATAGTGTGTAGCAAGTTGAAGTGGTTCAGTGACCACGAGAGGTATGGTTTCGTTTCTCTTAACCAAGTATGGGAGGATAATTTTGTCCACCCCCCCCCCCCCCCCCCCCACAAACATCAAATCCAAGGGGGGTTCTGTATTCATGGTTGGAAAGGATGTAGTGTTTGAGATCAAGGTAGAATTTCCAAGGCTGTTGATATCACTGGCCCAGCCTAGTCAGAAGCAGGGGTGGGGTTACGGTGGTGGATACAGAGGCAAAAGAGAAAAAGAAGAAGATGGTAGAATTATAGAAGAGGAAGGCACGGTGAGGGTGGAAAATGTGGATTTAATATGGTGATAGTAGTAGCCGAGGTGGTTAAGGTGGTGGCGGCTCTTAGCTTAAAGTGTGGTAAGACAAGGGCATATTCCCAGAGATTGCAACTAGAATGGTTCTCAAACTGATGGAAATAGGTATGGTGGCAGTGGAGGGAAAAAGCCAAGCAAGATTGACTTCAAGAGAGAGCTCTTGTTCTAGCCTCTACATAATCCTGGCAGCGGAATCGTTATAGTTATGGTGAATCTAACACCTTTAAGTGTTCAAACAATGGCCGCTAATCTTGTAATTTGGTGGATGCCATTTACTTTTACTGCTTTCAGAGGGCACGTTTCGGTTTCCTTCTACACCTTTTGACAAAGTTTTGAACTACTCGGTCTGTAAGGTGCATCTTATGCCAAAGAGGAGAACCAATTGTGTTGTCACCTCAATTCCCAGTTCTAAAGAGCATTCAAGATACAGCATCATAAATTCAATTAATAGAACAAATAATAGGTCCAGTACCTCGACTCCATGCTGGAATCCCGACCGAATACAATAGGAAGTGGCCCAGCCCATGTGGGTGCAACAGCGGCAATGCCCCTTGGTTTCACTAAACCTCTATTTGCTGCACGAATTGTTAGTGCAGCTGCATGGCCACCTCCAAATACCACCAAATCATCTTCTGCTTTGGTGGTACAAAGATTATTAGCAACAATATAAAAAATAAATATAGTTGCAATTGAAAATAATGTTGGAAGTGAAATTTTGGAAAGACAGAATTGAAGAACATAATCGTCTTGCAATGCAATCAGCATCAAAACAACCTGAAGAAAACTATTTTGAGAGGATTTGTATGTGATGTAAGAGGCCAGACAAAGGCATATTATAGAAGATGGGGAATGAATCACAGGAACTGACAACGGGAACTGACAAAAAGGTGAGAGACTATGTAACAGTCCAAGCCCACCACTATCAGATATTGTCCGCTTTGGTCCGTTACATATCGTCGTCAGCCTCATAGTTTTAAACCGTGTCTGTTAGGAAGAGGTTTTCACACCCTTATAAGGAATGCTTTATTCCTCTCTCCAACCGATGTGGGATCTCACAAGTTAGAAGATCAACAAAATATTCAAGCAAAAAGAAATTGAAAAGTAAAAAGAAGCAGCAATATGAACAAAATCTATAACCAAAGCAGAAGCACATGGTAACATGCAGATAAGATGATGGAAATCTAGTTCTACAATCTTGAGTTAAATTAAGCTTTTTATAACATGAACACTAAATAATTCTGTGTTCATAGCAGCAAGAACACCTAAGCGTTTTAACACAACATTACTCAACAGTCATTCAAATGAGCTGCATATGTCCTTTAAATATCTTTCGAGTGTCTCTCGGCCAGTTAGCCAACAATAAAGCCTGAGAAATTCTAAACAGTTTGGAACAAGTACATTTGAAGGCTATTAAAATATTAGTATACGTTCTTACTAATATTCGAAGGTACCATAAACTGTATCCTGTGCAGTCAAGCATTAGCTTAATTTGTATTCTATTTCCATAAATTTAGAACCACTACATAGCTTAGACTTTGGACAAAGCTAGCCACAGGAAAGTGAGATGGTAAGAACTAAGAAATATTAGCATCACGAGCAAGATGATTGGTTAAATCATCTATTCCTTCTCTCAATTTATAATCATAGAAGCTCATCAAGATAAGGGCTGCAATACTAACTTGAGCTGCTTACTGGACCATCAGGAGCATTGATCAAGTCCACTAAGAACTTCTCCATCACATCAGCATTGTAATCCATCTTTGGCCTATCAGAGAAACCTAGACCAGGCCAATCAACGATAGTAGCACGCCAATTGATTTTACTATCCTTCTGTACAAGTTCTCTTGCCACTATTCTCCATTCCTCCACAGTGCTAACATCAGAAATCGTGGGTATCATGAGAATATCTTTAGGTGGATCAGCACTCTGGCTTTCATGTTCCTCATAATAGATGTTTATAAGATTGTCTTTGAATTTCCACTGCCAGTTACTAGCCTGAGCTAGAATGAAGTATTGTATGAGATTCAGACCAACACACATACTAAATTCACAGTTTATAACTAATGATAAGAAGAGAAAATGGAAACAAACAAATCAAGTCCCATAAGCAACAAGGTCCTATAGAATTGGTCACCAATTACCACGCAACGGAATGAATCAATCAATACCCACTTTAACAAATCCAGCAACAAGAGGTCCATAATCATTGGAAATTCTACTCTAACGGTACTCCCAAAAAGATTGGATGAAAAAAGAAAAAGGAAAGCATTTCAAAACACAATCAATTCAATATTAGAATACATGGTCAGCCGAGTGTGATCATGTACCTTTAATGGGGTCGAGCGTGTCGCCTCTGAGGAGTATTTGGAGTAATCCAAAGTGGTCGAAGCTCTAATTGTAAGGGGTTTTAGAAAGAAAGCATTATGCGGAGAAAGGGGTCGACGGGATTTGGAGGAAGAAATGAGGGATGTCGATGAGAAGGGGTGCAATTTTGCAGAGAAAGCCATGGCAATAGTTAAAGAGGTGAAGAGCAGGTGGAATTGGAAGTGGGTTTTGCGCGGTTTAGAATGAAAATGGCGATTTGAGATTTGCAGGCTTGGTTGAGACAAGGAGGCCGCCAAGCGCTAAGGTCAATAAGGGCGACGGTGGCACTGCCACGATTACCTACCTCCTCCTGTTCCTAAAATATCAAGTCCGTGTCCACTACAACACTCAAATAATTTATTCTTTTTTGGATTATTATATTTAATTCACCAAAATATCACCCCTCTATTTATTTATTTTTTATTTTTCTTTTCATCTTACCGATATGAAAATAAGTTCAAAAAAAAGTTTTTAATTTGTCCACTCGTCAGCTTCCTAATTTTAAACCCTTAAACTTGATAGAAATTTTCACTTTCCACGCCTTGATAAGAAATATTTCTCTACAATCGATGGATATCTCACAATCCACCTCTTTGAGGGCTAGCGCCATCTCACAATCCACCTCTTTGAGGGGTAGCGCATCCCCAACACATCCAAATTCGTCTCCGTTCTCAGATGGAGTGCCCTCTCCCAACAAACTTTTCAGGCCTTCTTCAACAACTTTTAGCTTCTTTTTCATTTTTTTAATACCTCTCTCTTTTATTTCTATCATACCATAATGCTATGATACTTAATTGTTGGGCTGAAATATCACAACCTAGCATTCTAATACAACTTGTTGTATTAAAATGTTACAATATTTAGTATTTCGATACTCAATTGTTGTAGCGAAATGCCATAATCAAATATGATTATGAATCCAATTGTTGTAGCTGAATGCCACACCCAAAAATATTTATAAATTCATAAAGTAAAGATGATTCAGAAATGGGTTTTTTTCCAGGGACGAGTACAGGAACTTGGAAAACTGTAAACATAAAATTGAAAAAGAAATGTCAAGGATGGGATTCGAACCCATGGATTTTTTTCCATTATGGAAACATAAAATAGATAAAGGCATGTCAAGAATGGGATTCGAACCCATGCCCTTTCGGACCAGTACCTGAAACTGGCGCCTTAGACCAACTCGGCCATCTTGACTTTGTTGTTTCATGTTCAACACATACAAATTTATTTACTCATATATTTATTTAACATTTCAAAAGCTGAAGTACGAGATGTAAACAAGTTCATTCTTGTCAAGGTGAAATCATAATTTATTCAATGAAGAAAAAGAGCGAAAGAAATAGGGAGAATTTCATGGCCTTAGATCTTTCCAATACAAAGCGAGGTGGGTTTTTGGTGCCCATCAGTTTCACATTTTCTAGTGTTCTAACTGCGTGTGCTGTACTTGAAGATCTTAAATGTGGCGGAGAGGATGTTTTTGTAGAGACAGCCCTTATTGATTTGTACGCCAAGTGTGGAGATATGGATGAAGCTGTTAACACATTCTTGCGGATGCCCATTCGCAATCTGCTCTCCTGGGCTGCCATCATATCTGGTTTTGTGCACAAGAATGATTAGTTATTTATAGAAATGTTGTTTCAAATATGCACCTGATCATATGACTTTGAACTGCAGTCCTGTTCTGTTCTTCATTTTATTCAAAATAGGCAGAGAAATTCATGGTTTTTGTAGCTACTCGATATATGGCAACCTGGAATTGGGTAGGAGGGTGTTTGAAAGATTGCCCCATAAAGATCATATTGCATGCCCTTCATTGGTTTCAGCATTGAGAAGCATTTTTGCTGTTTCGTGATCTGCCCACCCATATGGTTTCAGCAGTTTTGCACTTTTATTGGTGTAATTGTTCATCTCCTTTTAAAGATTATAGTCTACCTTCTTTAGCTCATTATTGGAGATCCTTTCTTGTAATCCTCCTTGGGTGGTTTTGGGTTTTCCCCCCTGAATTAGTGCAGGAAAGCTTGGCAACGGCCCTCTGTGCATCACAGGCAGCAGCTGCAGGACTGTTATCATATGGCAAACAACGAAGTGGAGATGGCCGAGTTGGTCTAAGGCGCCAGATTAAGGTTCTGGTCCGAAAGGGCGTGGGTTCAAATCCCACTCTTCACAAACGCTTTTTTTTGCTGGTTTGAATGTTGGGTGAGGCAGCAGCCAAATATTTGTCCTTTGGCTCCCCGCAGGTCTCTTAATCAATGGGTTGGAAAGTTATTTACGTGTGTTGCAATGGCAACTCCGGGACAGTGGGCAAAGTGGGTTCCATGGGCTGAATTCAATTACAACACCTGGTATCATATTCAACAAACTTGGCACCTTTTTGAGGTGGTTTATGGCCGACCCCCACCCAAAGTTCTGCTATATAACCATGATTCATCTGTGGGGGCAGCAGTGGATACTCAGCTCCCAGGATAGAGATTTAATGTTAGCGGAGGAGCTTAAGTTGTTTTTAGAACGCGCACCCAACAGTATAAGTTAGATGTTAATGATTGGATTTATATTAAACTCTGTCCATAACGCCAAATATCTTTGTCGAAGCGTTGTCATCCCAAGCTCGCCACATGGTCCCTATCAGGCTGTGCAACGTGTGGGGTCATGGCTTACAAATTGGCACTTCCAGCTGCTGTCCAAGTTCATCCAGTATTTCATGTTTCTCAACTTCAGAAGGCAACTGCTAGTAATTTCCCTCAATGTTCAGTTCCTCCTAATTTGGGCCTTGACTTGACGGTCTAGCTACTACCTTTGGCAGTATTGAGAGTGCATCACTCGTCTTCAAATGCTTCGGTTTTGGAGGTGTTAATCCATTGGGAAGGACATACAACAGCTGATGCTACGTGGGAGTTGAGTTCCATGATTGAGGAAAAATTTCATGACTTCCACCGCGAGGACAAGGTGGCTTCTTGGGGCGGGCAGTGATAGACCCCGACCCCAAATCACCGACGTGTATACACGAAAGAGATGGGAGAAAGGAGGAGCTAATGATGTAATTTTATGACTCTCAAGTAGAGGAGAGATACATGAATGAACTGAGATCAGATCTAAATAAGAATGATCCCGAGGATAAAATGATTAAAAAAACACTTCTTCCTATATCAACGAGGCGCACCTTCCTTTTCGGTAGCTCAACCATAGAAACTCTATGGTTAAGTGTGCTTTACTTGGATCAATTCTTCGTTAGTGATCTCTTAGAAATTTTTCTAGATATATGTGAGTGATGACAAAATAGGCTGTAAGGACTCTTACTGATTTGTAGGGCTAGTCTTCACTCTTAAGAAGCAAGAAGTAGATAACGTGACCATATCAGAAGCAAGAAGTAGATAACGTGACCATATCACAGGAAAATGTCGGGGCCATCAGGTATCAAATTCGGATTTCGAATCTTGATCCAAATTATGGACATGGATCGTTACCAACCCGATAATTATATTTTTGTGAGAGTTTGTTTGCAGGGTTACTTAAGGCGTTTGTAGAGAGGAGAGTATCATTTTACTCCCTTGTCATTGCCAAATTGGTAAACACAAAATTCGAGCACTGTCAACATGCACAATAGTGGTTCTGTTCATCAAAACTCATCTGAAACAGTTGAAGAAATCTTTTAGTTTACAGAACCATATCTACTCTCTAAGTAATGATTAATCTGTGTTGATAAAAGTCAAATCAAGTTGCTAATCTTAACTCATCCAAGTAGGACCCTTCAGTTTCTTTGAAGCCTACTTAAGATGGAACTTGTTTACAACTTGCCACGCTATTTGCAACTTTCTTTGCCTTTATCAGTTTCTTTCTTTCTTAGCTAGTTTTTGCTTTGAAATTTTCCAATAACTCCTCTACATCATCTACGCTGGTCTTTGTCCATTCTGTACTTGTTTCTTGTTCGTTTCTTGTTCATTCTCTGCTCTCTCTTGGCCACAGATTGTGTTTTTTCAACTCCTTGACCCATTAAATCCTTCAAGTCTCTATATTTTTCCGTTTTTCTGTGAACTATGGAAGGTGAGTGCAAAACCCATCTTGCCAATGTTTTGATCTCTTCATATCTTGCACCAAATGAAGACAAATTTGTAGAGAAGAATCCTCCTGTGAAGTTTGAACAGCCGCAGCTTCCATCTGCTGTCTGTTCAAATCAGAAGGCTCTATGTGTTAAAAACATAAAAAAGACAGCCAGTGCAGAGGCGGAGATTGGAGTATTCAGAGCTGAAAGGTACTATGGCATGAAACCGGAAGATGACAAAGCAAGAGCTGTTGAGAATTGTGGTGGCAACCAGGCAAAGAAGAAAGAACAACGAGCTGATGTGCAGTATAGGAGACAAAAGAGTAGATCAGGAACTCCAAGTGTGAGTTCTGAATCAAGTTGGAACAGTCAAGCTGGTTTATTTCCAAGTTTCTTGAGGAATTCATCTCAGAACATCCAACATAAGACAAAAGGAAGAAGTCTGTTGGTCAACCTTAGCTGCAACAGGTCTTGTGCTGATAAAAAGTCTATCCTTGTCCAGAGGAATTTGTATGAGCAAAAAGGTTTGCAAGCTTCAAGAAATGAACAAATTCCTGTCGTCATGGATGGAAGAATGAAGTTTCAAGCAGCTACTTTGGTGAAACACAGACCAAAAAGTTCAATTTCTGGTGGCTCAACCAGAGAAGAAGAGTTGGTGTTTCCAATCTCAAGCTCTCAGTTACAAACTTTTGCAAAAATGAAAGATGAAGATCCAAGAAAATCCATTGAAGTATTCGGCTCAAACAAGTTGGATAAGAAAGAGTTAATGGCTAAGAATCGAGAGAGGAAGCTGTCTGTTCTAAAATGGGATGCCATCCCAAAAGCTAAGGCCACTCAAACTGCTCCAAGAACTGATCAAATGACTGAAGATACCGGGAGCGATGCAAGTTCCGATCTGTTCGAGATCGAAAACATATCTGGAAGCCATGGAAGGTCATTCACAAGGCAAACTTCAGATCTTATATCAAGCTCCATGACAGCTTATGAGCCAAGTGAAGCTAGCATTGAATGGAGTGCAGTCACTGCCAGTGCAGCTGATTTCTCATCTGTTGCAGACTATGATGGAAAGGAAGCCACAGCTAATAAGCCTAAAACCACAATAGTGAAGGATTTGCAAAAAAGTCACCCTGGCGGACTGTTAGGATGTAAAAGTGACAAGTCTGTCAGCATAGCTCAAACTACATACAGAAATATCGAGAAGCTTAAAGCAACAGGTTGAGCTGAGATTAATATGAAAGCTTATGATTTCCCTATCAAAGTTATGTTAAATAGCATTA